CACAAGCTTGCGAATCACCCTTCGGTGGCCATTTCACACAGAAATCAAGGCTCTTTAAGACCAGGCCTGCCCAACAGCAGAATGTTTCCCAGGCAAAGGACAGTCACCTGGCAAATATTCTTGCTTTCATAATCCCCGTGAGCATCCTCACCACTTTCCATTTGTGAGAAGTCACACTGGACCACCCCAGCACAGGCTGCTGGTTGACTGGGACGGACAAGGTGCAAGGGAAGGGGCAGTGGGCAATAGCCACCAGGTGAGGTCAAGGCAGGTGTCGGGTAGGGGTTCCCAGAAGGGGTTGGGATGGAAGCTGAATGGAGGCAGGAGGGTAATCCAGGAGGAGGACGCTAAGAGCTCAGAGCTCTGCCTGACCGGGCTTCCCTACATAACTTACAATTGCACAGGACTGGGAGAGGCCACAGAAAGAGGCGGGGATGCACGGTAGCCTGTGGCTGCCCCTGGGTCCTCCTTGGAGATGAGAGGGACCCCACAGCCTGGTTCTCTCAACCTTCGCCGTCCTGTATCCTGCATTCACTCAACCTATAACCAATAAGCGTTACTTCCACCTGCACTGTTCTCGGATACGTCATTATTCACTCAGTCGCTCCACAAACATTCCTTTATGGCCACTTAGTGGGAATTTGGGACAAGTGTCAAGAGAACAGGCTCCCCTGGAAGGTCCAGAGTACTTCTCTTCACCTCTAGATCTCACTATGGACACTGAGTAAGTTCTCCACCTGTGGTCCTGCTTCAGTAACTGGGACACAAGACAGCTAGCAGCCCCTTCTTGAGGCCAGCATCTCCACTGCAGAAGAACTTAAAGACCCCACAGGGCTCACCATCCTAAAGGCACTGTCTCTGTTATGAGAGAGTTTTGAGCCAAACGCGTCCACCCTTTTCCTCTCCTGGATTAGCCTTTCTGTTCCATGCTGTGCTCCATCCTTTCACTGTCTTGGGGTCCAAAGGGTCACTTGAGAGACTGTAAAAGTACCAGTTCTGAGGCCTGTGACTTTGGCGTTGATAATAACTGAGATTTTGTATGGGGATGACTCATCCAACCAAACAAGAGCTAACTTTTGAAAACCTGACGTAGCACTTCTTACAAGGAAGAGTAGTCTTGAGAAAATGGTCTAGGCTATTCGTGCACTGCATTACTAATTAACTTTCAATTATTTAACATAAAATGACCTTTCATTTTTGTGAGCATTTGTCCAAGTAAAAAAATAGTCAAATACTCTCTATGTATAGTTAATAGACAGGAACACATTTTACAAAGTTCTGACAGATTAACAACAATAAAAAAGGTTTACAATCCTTGCAGTATGAATTCATGATATCCAAACCACAAATGCCATTTTATAATGGAAATCAAATTGTCTGCTAATAATTGCTGTTCTGAACTACTGTGTCTAAGGAACCAAAATCCCTTGGGATATCAGGACCACAACATGCAACAAGTATCTGATGATCTACTCTGTGCAAGGAGAGAGGGTACACACTTGGAATTCAGCAAATTACAGTCATTTTTAAACACTATTTTGTATAATCGCTTTTCACAATACATTGAAGCTTCCCTATCCACAGCAACACTGAATAATTCAGATTAAATACATTATATATATATATATATATATAT